TTACAAAATAGACATGGAGATATAAAGTGTAGCATAAGGGAAATAGTTAATAATGTAATAAATATGTAAGGGGCAGAGGGGTACTAGATTTAGTGGGATGGTCACTTTGTGAGTTATATAGATCTCTAATCACTATGCTATACAACTGAAACTAATATATTATTTTATACCAAATGGAAAAAAATTCATTGAATATTACAATGTAAATACGAGCAACTAATTATTTATTATAATTCAATAAAGCTGGAAATAAAAAGAGGAATTCAAAAGGGCAGGCTAGAGTATCTTCTGGTGTTTTTTGGTATGTGATCAATATGTCAGACCTAAGACTATATAATCCTCTTCTTGGGAATGAGGTGAGGTTCCTGATCCATGTCCACATTGGCAGAATCGGAGTCAGAGTATCAAAAACAAAATAGGTGGAAAGGATGCTTAGAAATGTCATATGAGTGAAAAGAAACATTTGCATTGTATTTCAATAAAACAAAAATAAGCAAGATGGCTAGAGAATTCTGTGTTCGGATAAGGTATCCACTGTACCCACTGTCTGAAGGAGATAAGAAACACCTGTACCCTTCTATATCCTTTTCTGCCTTCAGAGAACTGACCACCTTGGAAAACACATGGCTCATTGTGCATGTATTCTGTTAGTGATATGCTGCACACATTGTGGAACATACCTATGGACTCAGTGGCAATAGGTGAAGTCAATGTTTCCGTAGATAGAAAGGAAAGTGTGGAATCCAGCCAAGTTGTCTCAAAAGAGGAAGAGAGTAATGAAGACAGAATTGCTGTATAAGGATGTGCTATTCTAGTGGATGTGAGTGGAAATGAGGGTCTAACAGCAGTGGATGTAGTGGTGGTTATATTTGAAAGGGAGTCAAGTGTGGGCTTAGGAAAAACTAAAGTAGGGGATGCTGATGCTGCTGGGATTCTGCTCCACATGGATTTTATTGCAGGATTAGACTGAAGTGTTGAACCAATAGATAGGGTGTGATCAGTTGTAGGAGGTGACATACTCATTCTGCTAAAGGATGAAGGTTGAGACACAGTCCTGGAGTTGGCAGTCACAGTAGTTCTGGAAGTAGCCTCAGGGGATTTGGAAATGCATTCACTGCCATCTATGATTTTCATAGACAGAGGGAGAGAAGTTGGGATGCCAGTAGCTATATCGCCCCCTGTAGGCATAGTAGTGGTTTTGGTGAGTGTGGTGCTTACAGTAGGAAAGGGTAGTGTTGTAAAGTTAATGAATAGTGTGTTGGTGTCATGTCAGAAGTCAGAAATGTGGATTTTGACACCTCCACTGTAGAGGACGTTACAATGTGAGGAATATTAGATACAGTTGCCATAGGGGAACCTGAAGGGAGACTAGAGAAGATCCAAATCAGCATGGGTGAAGTAGTAGCCTTTGAAATTATAGAACCTGAAGCAGCACCAGAAAGATTCGATGGGAATATTGTCCCAAGAGTTATAGTTGTGATTGTCTTCTCAAATGTCTGCTTAATGTCAACCAAAATGGTAGGGACAGATCTTGAAGATATTGATAATGAAGGGCTCTCAGACATCCCCAAGGTAGGAAGAATTCACGATATGGCAACTGATGACATTGCCATAACATCTCCAGATATAAGAGCAGTCTGAGAGGCTGTGACTGTTGACAAAGACCCAGGAACAGGGTATGGAGCCTCTGTTTCCATCTTGTTGGGTGTAAGTACATGAGTAGTGGTGAAACTAGGAAATTGAGAATCTTCAGTCGTGGGTGTGTTCCAGGAAGTCATAAGCAGAGACTGGTTGTTACTAGATGTGGTTCTTGTTCCAAGAACTGGAAATTCAACCATTTGGGATGTAGGAGGAAGAGAAGTATTTGGAATATAGAACTCAGTTTCAGCACTATGAGGTGAAAAAACAAATGATGTCAAAGAGGGTGGAGTTGCGCTGGATAGAGTCCATGAAAGGTATAAAACAGGAGCATTCACAGATGTGGCACCTTTTGTTAGTTCAGCTGTTGTATTTTCTGACAAGCAAGTCATCTTTTTTGTATTCGAAGAAAGGTAAGTGGTGGATTTTATATTTTTTGTGGGTCCAGGAGTGCTCTTAAAGCTAGTCAAAGATGAGGAAACTTGAATGTTCAAGGAAGTATGGAGATTAGCTGAAGGAGTAGATGAAAGCACACTTTTAAGGACAACAGTTCTGGAATAAGTATTTGTGAGAGCTGCTATTCTACCACTGCTTACAGCATATAGGGAACTGTTAGTAATCCCAGATAATATGCCCAGAGTTGTAGCCTCATGTCCTTGGGATGATTGTTGGGCTGTTGATAGAAATGGTGAAAATGTGGTCTTTAGAGTGGAAGAAATAACTTCAGTAATCTTAGTAGTGTGTAGAGAGGAGGCAGTGGTGCCTACATAGGGAGTCACCACTCTAGCCATTCTAGTGATTGGATTGGTTTTCACAGAAGAAAAAGTTGACTGTTGGAGAGGGAAAGGATGGAGGTATGATCCTGGAGGACATCTCTGTCATTTCTGAATTAGTAAAAGCGGAGGACAATTTTGTCTTTTTTGAAGCAAGCCCAGCATATGTCACAGGTGTGACATCCAATGTAAATGTTTGTATGGGCATAGTAATCCTAGAGGTAATTGAATGCAGTAAAGTAGAGCATGATCTAACTGTTGTGGAAGTGCCAGAAGAAACAGCTACAGGTGAGAAAGCAGAGTCATGAACTGATGTTGAGGACGTTTCAGACACGGGCCTAGAAGTGACTATAGAGGGACTTTTCAAACAATTTGGAGGTGCTGTTTTAGAAGATTTAATCATTAGTATTGTGGGAGTGTCAGACATTATTTTGGAGGTGAAGGAAGTAACACTAACTGGCAGTGAGTACATCTGGTAGATAGGAATAGAAGTTGCCATAGAAGTTTTCCCAAGAAGTGCCATAGTTACATTTGGAGCAGGAGGAACTATAGTGGTTCTGTCAGTAGAGACAATTGTAAAATTGGTACTAGATAGTCCAGTTGTAGAAAGAGACAGGGACTCAGGAGAGGTCTGTGTACTTTCAGAAATGGGAGAGGCAATTGAAGTCACCTCAGGTTGAGTCCTGGATGAAAGCAAGTGTGAAAGAGTTGTGTTGGTGTTTACAGGATTTGATATTTTGATTGTCTTGGAAGTTGTGGTATCTATAAATGAAGTATCTTGATAGCATGAGAAAGGGTGAGTCACAGAGGTGGTGCTTACTATCATTTTTTCAGTTCTGGGAGTATATATTGAAAGGGCACTCATGCTTTCTTTTTCAGGAGGCAAAAGTGTGGTAATTGTCAGAACTTGTGAAGGGAGAGCTGTTTTCCTAAGATTGGTAGACATTTCTGAAATGTCAACATTTGTGTTACTTGAAGTCCAGATAGGTGTACTCCCAGAAGCAGGAGATGAAGCTGAAATCCCGTCAGGTGGAGTTGCAAGTGGAATATCTGAGGATGAATGTGTTTGGTGACTGGAATGTTTTTTGGTCTCAGCAAATCCTGTACTTGTCATTTCAAAGCATGAAGTACTCTGGGACTCAGAAATAAAAGGATACTTTGATGGGGACATTTCTGTCACCTCCATAGTTTCAGGGGTGTTTCCCAGGGAGGTGGTCATCTGCTCTTTGTCAGAAGACAAGGTAGAAACATCAGTCACTGATAGGGTGGGGACCAGTGTGTTTGCAAGATGTGTAGAAAATTGAGAAATATGACCACCTACTGAAGTACTAAGCTTGTTGGGAGAGGTGTGTGAGGGCATGGTCTTATCAACAAGAGTAACCAAGGTAACATCATCTCCACTACTACTGAAAGTATACGGAAAGCTGAGAGTATGAGTAGAAGTCTCCTCCACTTGAGATATAGGTTGGGTTGCTACTGGTATAGACATAGTTGAGATCATATGAGTGGAGGACACAAGAGGGATGTTGTTAGGGAGAGATTTAGAGCAGGCCAGAGTGGGTGTGGATGGAGTTACTATGTCAGCTGAGATAGAGAGAAGCTTGGGCTCAGGCTTAGTTGCCACAAGAGTGATAGGTCTCAGTGAGGGGACTGGAGTTTCTGTCAGAGAGGGAACTGCTGTGGGTGTTATCTTGACAGAGATCACTGTGGCCTCTGAAGTGGAGTGAGTCAAGACACTGTGGGTAGGCAAAATGTCGTTGATTGTGGAAGCACCGATGTTGTGGTCACTTTAGCTGATGACAGAGTTGAAACATCTGAGAGTATAGATGTGGAGGATCTGGCCAATGTAGAAGGCTTAGACATGGTAACATTAGTCTCCTTAAACACTACCGTAGTGGTAACAGCAGAGATATTAACTGGCAGTGAGAACATATGGGTAATAGGCACAAGGGTTGCTGAGGAATGGCTAGCTGTAGGCTGTGGAAGTAAGATACCAGCAGACAAGGACATAGCTGCTCTGTTTGTATGGATAGTGGCAAAATTGGTCTCCAACATTTTTGTAGTGGAAGCACCCAGGGGTTTAGGGAATGTCTGTGCACCTCCAGAACCGAGAGATGGAGTTGAATTTCCTTCAGGTGGAGTCTCTGAAGTCCAATGTGCTGTGTAGGTGTGGGCGTAATTAAGGATTTCTGTCGTTCCATTGTATGAACTCTTAGATGTGATTTTCACCCATTGTGTAGAAAGCCAACTTCCTCTCATCTCAGTAGTTACAGTTTCATCATCCAATGGAGTAGATAACTTTTCTAAATCAGGAAAAGAAGAAATTGTAACAGAAGCTGTCACCATTTGTGCAGACTCATCTGTTGCTTCCAACATTGTTGCAAATGGAGAAACTTCAGTTGTCTCTGCTATAGTTGATTTTCCCTTAAGATAATGGGAAGTTGTTTCTTTCCTTGTTACAGTAACATTGAATCTTTGTGTTGTTGTAGTCTCTGGTACAGGGATTGTTGTCTCTCCAAATGCAATTGTACCTTTTATCTCTGTTTGTGTGATCTCAGAAGCATTCTCCTCAGTAGAAAAAAATGGTTCAATGTCAGCAAGGGTATATATTTTATCTACTGGTGGAATAACTGTCTCCCTTGATGTTGAAAGAAGTTCATTTCCAACTACTGGGAACATAGGGGTGAATTTTAATAGTAAGGTGGTAAGTTTATATTCATGCAGTTTGGTTACAGATGTGGTTCCAGAAACTGTGGAGAAATCAGTAAACCATGAATATGTCAAGTTAGATAGAGCTGTTGTATACCTGTCTGTAATAGCATCAGTAGTAAAAATAGAGTCAGTGGTAGTGCTAGCCTTACTCTCTATGGGTGTTCCTGATGGGATAATAATATTAGTTGTTGTGGATGAATGTCCTGTATTAGAAGCACTCCCATGGAATACTGATGTCAACAGGGTCTGGTCTGGCCTGGAAATCCAAGTGATCTCACTGGTGGAGAATAGATGGACACCTTCATCATTTATTGATGTGGGACCAGACTCAGATGCTTTGAATGTGGAAGCTGATCTAGTGGAAATAAAAGGAAACATGTTTTCACCATCTATGGGTGTACTCGGGGTATATACTGGCCCAGTGGTTATAGGGGAAAATATACTTTGAGCCACTGTAAGTGCAAGTGTGATTCCAAGAGTCAAGGCTGTATGTGTAGTCTCAGCATCAATAACTGTACATTCTGAGCTCCAGTGAATGAAGAAGATGTCCTGAAAGAAAGGGCCATAGGAGAATCCTCTGTCGGCATGAAGGTAGATATTGTATCCTCCACTCTGGGTGGAGAGACATCCTGGAAATTTGCAGATGTCAATTCTGTTTCAGCTGTTAGCTCAGGAGTCATCTCAATAGGCTTAGTTGGGAGCGTCATTGAATGAACTTCAAATAATATTTCTGTATCAGTTGTTGCCAATGTACATGCTGCCTGATTTCTAGGAAATACGGCATCTACTGGAGTAGCTGTGGCGATGAGCACAGACTCAGGTGGGAATACTGATGCAGTCTCAATGTAAGTAGTTGCAGCTGAAGTTTGTTTCATCGTGAACCAAGGTACAGTTCCAGCCACTGCAAGAAACTCCTGACTAACTGTGGAGATAGAGAGTGCCCTGGTTCCTGTAGATTTCTTCTTGGCTCAAGATGTAGACATGGATGTCAACTCAATAGATGAAAATAAAGATATTGTCTTCATAATGGCCAACTGAGATTCATTTGCTGAAGTTTTGGATACAATTGAATTCTTGGTAAATCCAGATGTGTATAGGAAATCAGTAGCTATAGTTGGATGAATGGTCTCAGTAGCAATGACTTCAGTCATTTTTGTTGTTCTTGTGCTCTCTGAAGATGAAGATTTGGTTATTTTTGTGTAATTGGTAGTAGTGCCCATGGATGTAATCTTGGTAGGTTGAACAATGGCTGCTGAAGCAAACAAAATGTCTGCTGTGAATGTAACTGTCTCAGCTATGGATGTCTTTAAAAAATTTGGTGCAGTCATGTCCAGAGGTGGAGATGTTGTATTGAAATGTGTTATGGTTGTATAATCAGTTGCAAATATAGGCATGCTTTTAGACACCACTGTAGAAGAATATATGGTCTTTTGTGATTTTAGTCCAATAACTTGAGATGGGGTTGTCAAATCTATTTGTTTCTTGAATTGTTAGATTTTCAGAAACAACTGAAAAAATAGAAAAGCATATGTTACTTTGGATTTGGCTTTAGAAATCAAAGACAATTCTTTAAGAAAGAGTTTGTAGTTTTTTCTTATATTTTTTTTAATTAAGTTTATTGGGGTAACATTGGTTAATACAATTATATAATTTTCAGGTGTACATTATCATTTGACATCTGTATATTCTATTGTGTGTTTACCACCCAAAGTCCTGTTTCCTTTGGCTACCATATATTTGATCCCCTTTACCTACTTCACCCTCGCCCTAAACCCTGTATTCGATCCCCTTTACCCCATCTATCTGCCCCCTCATCCCCCATCCCACTAGTAACTACTAGTCTATAGTCCTCTGGTAACCACTAACCTGTAGTCCATGTCCATGAGTCTCTGTTTATTTGTCATATTTTTAAGAGGATATATGTATCAGATATAATCAAATCACATAATTACTTGGCTTTTCATACAATGATTTTAGACTTTCTAAAATTTCTATATGGTTTTCATAATGCCCTGGTTAAGTAACAAATAGGAAGACATCCATTCCATAGTGTCTCCATAAAAAAAAAATAGGCACTCTTGAAAAAGGTGTATGTACTAGAGTAGTGCACTGATTAAGAGGATTAGCTTGGGAAATGGACCAATTTCTTAAAAGACACAAGTTATCAAAAATCAAGAAGAAATAGATAACTTGAATAGTATTATATCTACTAAAGAAATTGGATTGTGTAGTTTTAAATCTTCCAAAAAATAGGACTAGCTTTGGATTCAAATAGATGTAGTTTTAAATCCTGGCTCCATCATTTATTCATTATGTAGCCTTAGACTAGTTACTTAACCTCTCTGTGTTTCAATTTCCTCCTCTGTAATGTGAGATAATAACACCTACCTTATAAAATTGTTTTGAGAATTGAGTTGATGCATGTAAAACACTTAGTATAGCACTTATCAAAACTAAGTGCTCAAAAAATAAACTGTTGTTAATAAAAGCTTGGCATGTTAGATTTGATCAAATTTCTATTACTACCTAAATACTATAGATTTAAAAAGTTTTGATCTGGAACTTCAAAATTGAAATTTTTTGTATATGCACTATTTATATGTATATATATCAATAATATATACATGTATATATGTATATGTATATGCACTGTATATATATCAATAATATATACATGTATATATGTATCTATATAACAAATTTATATTATATACATTATAAACATACAAAAATAGAAATGTCAAAGAATATGATAAAATGTGTAAATAGTTTTACAATATTTTTTTCATGTACTCTAATGTATTGTCTGTGTATATCCTAGAATTCTGCACTCCATTTTGAAGACACTGGAGCCTAGCTTATGTCTCAATTCAAGTCAGTTAAATTTGACAAGTATTATGAGTAGTATTCTAGGTCCTGCAAGAAATGTATAGCGCTTATGGCATGATTCCTTCCCTCAAAGAGCTCACATTCTTACTGGATAAGTCATATTACTGAAATATTTTTAGATAAAATATAACATAATATATTTAAAACAACACAATAAAAACACAATAAAATAATAATAGTGTTTATAATAAAGTGAACTATAGAATATAATCAGGCCCCAAATGTCTCTAAGGTACAATGGGGTGTAAGTGTGGTGAGAGAGCAAACTGGCTTCAAGCTAATGAGGAAGCTTTCTTAGGAGATGTAGGCCTTTGAGAAATGATGAGGTTTGCATAGAGAAGACACAGGCACACGGCAATGAATATGAAGGCAGTAAAAAGATCAGTCTAGCTGGGAGGGAGTATGTTGGATAGGGGTGAGTAAAAATGTCAGACTAGGATGGAACCTGAAGGGTAAGGTGGCAAAACAGATAAGAGAAAATAATATTGCAGGTTTCATGTACTTACTACAAGCCAAGCACTGAGCTACATGTTATTTCATTTAATATACCTAACAACCTAATAAGGTAGATATTACAATGACCTCCAATTCAGAGTTGAAGAAACAAAGTGTCCGAAAACTTTACATGAATTGTTCAGGTTCACACTTGGAGTTCAAGCCAAGGTCTATCATTTGTGCTCTTAACCACGACATATGTAAGGGTGTAAATTCTTGAACAAGAAGAATGAGTTGATAAAAAATAATTTTTAAGGAAAATGAATTTTGTGGCAGTATGCAGGATAGGTAGGCATGGGAAAAAACTAAAGGCAAAGAGTCCGTTTAAGAGGCTGGTAAAGTTCTTCCCACCTCACTCTTGCCAATTCTGGGCCAACCCAACTATTCATCACCTTCACACCTACACTTGAATAGTCAAGCACTGATGGACATAGTCACATAAGAGAACGAATTAGTATTTCCATAAATTCATGGTCACCAACCTCAAGTAAGCTTTTTACACTGCTCGGCCATCCTACTACCTCCCCCATTCTCAAATTCTATCCCTAAATGTTTGTCAAGTAACCATGTCTCTTATTTTATAGGAAAAAAATAATTGAAGTCAACAAATGGAATGTTAGCTGTGCTGCTGTCTCAGGAAATTTACACCAGCAGTCACCTGTCCTTTTCCTAAGGAGCCCTTCCCTCCTTATTTAAAACATATTTCAATCTCCTGCAATAAAAAAATAAAACCCAAAATACCTCTTCAGGTATTACCCTCTCTCTTTCTTTCCCATCACACCAAAACTTCTTTAAAGAAAGAATCTATACTAGCTGTCTCCACGCTCCTCTGTCTCATTCTTTAGTCTACACTAATCTGGCTTCTGGCACCATCATTCAACTGAACACTCACTAAGGTCACCAGTGGCCTCCATATAGACAAATATCATGGATACTTTTTTTTTAAACCTCATCTTACTTGACCTCTCAACAGCTTTCGACAATGTCAGTCATTTCTTCCTTCTTTAAATACCCTTTTTGTTGACTTCCATGACATAATGCACCGTTGGGTTTTCTCTTACTTCTCTGGCCACTTTTCTGTCTCCTTTGCAAACTCTTCCTATTTTATTTGGCTATTAAATATTAGAGTTCCCCAAGGCTTGGTCCCAGCATCTCTTCTCTTCTCACTCTATAGTTTCTCCATGCCTAGAATTCCAATTTGCACCTATACACAGATGAATCTCAAAGTTATATCTAGACCAAACCTCTATTCTGAGCTCTACATTTATATAATCAATTGCTTATTTGACATCATCTCTTAGATATCTCATTAACACCTCAAACTCAATATGACTCATCTGAACTCATTATCTTCTCTTCGAACTTAGTCCTCTTTCAGTATTCCTTCAGTGACTGGTACAATCATATATTCAGTTATAATAAGCCAAAACTTTCTTGTCCTTCTGTCTTCTTCATTTTCTCTTCCACAGGCCATAGCCAACTCATAATCTCATTCTACGGATCTTATCTCCTAAATATCTCTTAACTCCATTTGTTTCTTTCCATTTCCATCACTTACCTTCCTGACCAAGCCACCATCAATCTCTCATCTGGACTACTGCAGTAACCTCCCAACCGGACTCTGCCTCTACTCTTGGACCACCTTCAATCTGTTCCATAATGCAATCAGAATGATCTTTTAAAAATGCAAATTTGATGATCTCTCTCTCACACACACACACACACACACACATACAAACTCACACTCAGCTCCCTTTAGTGGCCTTCCATTATTCATAAGATTTTTTTTCTTAATTTTCTTTATAGAGCCTATAAAGCTATGCACGGTTTGGCTCCTACTTACCTTCCAGCCTTAATTTGTGTGAATTTCTCCCTTGTTTTCTGGACTTCAGCCCATCAGCCTAGTTTCAGTCCTCCAACACTTGGCATTCTTTTTCCTCCCACAAAGCCACTCACTGCATATGCTATTACCTCTACTTAGAATATTCTCCCCACCGTTCTCCATCTCATTAACTTCTACACATCTTTTAGATTCAACTCATACGTCACTCAGGGGAGCCTACCTTTCTTGGCCTCCATAACTAGGTCAAACCAATCTATTCTAGGCTCTTATGACACCTTTTACCTCTTTTCCATAGTACTTGTCATGGCTGCAGTTTTACATTTGTGTGTGCTTATAATGACTGCCTTCCTCACTACAGACAGGGCTCTCATCTTTCTTTGCTCATCCTTGTATCCCCAGTGCTTAGCATAGGGCCTAGCATTTGGTAGATGCCCAATAAATATTTGTATAACTGAATAAGTGGAAATAATGAGGGCTTGGAATGAGATGAGTGGAATCCCATAGGTATTGGAAAGGAAGAATTGAGAGGTTAGGGTAACAAAGAGGTTTAAGAGATGAAAAAGACAGACAACTCTCTGAGACAGAGAACTCAAATTTTGCTTTTAGGCAACTTGGAAAATAGTGGCAATACTCATAGACATAGAAAAATTGGGAAGACAGCCTCACTAAGAAGAAAAACACCCAGTTCAGACTTGGATAAGTGAAATTTGGGATGATGGTAGAACATCCAAGTGAAAATTACGCATAGTAAAGTTGAAGACTGAGTCATATTTTTTTCTCCAGTTCAAATCACCTAAAATGAAATCATACATATTTACCATTGGGAAGAAATTAGCATTTTGAATTTACCTACCTGGGATACATATTACCTATGATATAGGAATAAGTATGGTGATATATAATCTACCAAGCTGTTTCACTGTCTTGAGCATCAAAATTTTAATTTGCATATATAGAAATACTGAGATATGCAGAGAATATTCTTTAGGATTTTGTGGTCATTAGCAAGTAGAATGAGTGTCAATCAGAAGCCTGTAATTGATGAAAGTACATACATTTATAAGAAGAAAAGTCAAAGTTATATAAGAAGTACTTTTCACTTAATTTTACAATATTGTTTCAATTATCAGCAGTTCACATTCTGTTAGGCCTTATGGAGAAATGTATATTTCAGCAGCACAATATTTCTCTCAAGCTTTCTGCCTTCAAATTTGTCCATAACTACAAGTAAAAGAATTGCCAGGATCTTGGTTTCCATTTTTGCAGATGGCTTTACCACAG